TACATGTACATGTACACACACATACAGTACAATAAATGCATACATGTACAGTAATTAACAAACAAAAACAACAGAACAAAATAATAACCAAATAATAAGAACAGAGAAAAGAGCATATACTGTACATGTACGATGTACATCTAAATAACTACATGTAAACATGCACACATACATGTACAATGTACATGTATATTATACTTATTTGTAATTAATAATAAGTACAAATCTACATGTACATGTACATGAATACAGTGAAACCTGTCCTAAAGGTCACCTGAATAATGAGGCCACCTCTCTATTACAGCCATAAGCCAAAATCCCATACTAAATGGCTGTATTACAGAGGCTGATCTGTAATGCAGCCACCTGCATAATCAGGCCATTTAAAACTGGCCCAAGGGTGACCGGATTAAGCAGGTTTCACTGTAGTATGTACATGTAATATTGGTCATACATGTATAATTATGTTTGATAACTTACTAGTTTAGATGCTAGGACTAATGCTGTGTTATAACTGTGGACTATCAGTTGTGTGTCTAGTGATAGTTCAGATATGTCCTCAGTCCCAGCTGGGGGAGGAGTCGGCTCACGCTCAACCTTCTTACGACCTTTCTCTTCAACAGGAGGAGCCTCCGGTACTGTGATTAACTGTCTTATTAATAGGGGGACACTAGGGGAGAGAGGAGAGAGGGTATCACATGTCATGTACATGTACATAAAATTAAATGAAAATCAAAAATATTTAAGGCACAAACGTCAACGTACATATCACATACATGTGTACAAAATTATAATAAAAATAACAAAAACAATATTTAAGGTACAAATGTACATGTACCATTTATCTTCTTCCATTGGTTTAGGACTTTCTTTCTTATTTTCTTTATTTTTCTCAGCTACTCCTCCTCCATCAGTGGCAGTGGTTGACTGAGACTCTTCCTCAGGGACAGTCAGCTAAAACAATAAATCACACACATGTACATGTATATGTACGTGTACATGTACATACATGTACTGTACATTGTATCTCACTCTCTTACTTCAATTATAGGTATTCTTGAATTACAGTCAGGTAAAGGGCTTGGGACATCACCTAAAAGTTGAATGTCATTCATAAATGTACCGGTACATGTACATGTACATGTATATATATGTACATGTATGTACATGTACATGTATGCAAAGTACAATTATATTGCTTACTTGTCATTGATAGATAATAATCTTTTAGCAACAAAACTGCATCTTGAAACTTTGTCAGCTCAGCCTAAAAATTAATTTACAAAAAAGTAATGTACATTTTACATGTACATGTACATGTATTTAACATTGATTTCACTAAAATACATATACAGTATACATAATATATGTTACATGTATGAGTGTCTGAGTTAACAATAGATTGAAAAATAACTACATGTAGTTCAGTACAATAAATTTACATGTACATGTACATTACACTTAGTACCTACATTACTGATATGTAATGGTTTACATATCATAAACATCATTTACATGTACATGCAGTTCAGTACAATACATGTACATGTACTGTACATGTAGATGTGTATACCTGCATTAGTGATATGTAGTGGTTTGATATGAGTCCCACATGATCCTGGAGCCAATTATCATCAATGATGCTCTGTCTCTCTTTCTCCGAGTCAGTCTTACGGACGTCACAAATATCCCACAACTTCTCACACAGATCCTATTGGAAAGGCATGGAAAATACATGTACATGTAAATATCTTATCATTTTCACATGCATAGAAAGAGAGTACAATACATGTACATGTACATGTACATGTAAGTGCAGAATTCAAAAACTATAGAGAGTTTTTTTACTGTAAACTAAACTATTAATAAAAATGCATATATACAGTATACACATACATGTTACATGTATGTGTGTCTGAGTTAAAAATAGACAGATAAATACATGTACATGTACATGCAACTACACATACATGTACATGTAAGTGCAGAATTCAAACACTACAGT